CCCCAAAACCCCAAAACCCCAAAACCCCAAAACCCCAAAACCCCAGGCCACAGAATAAAAGTGGAAATCCAAGTTAAAATTCTGTATAAATTCACCCCAAAACAGCCAAATTTGCCAGAATGTTAGCATAATTAAGTGGTTTAAGCTCTAAGAAGCAAACTTCTCCCGCATCTTCTTTATATGAGGGATGATGTACTCCTCCAAACCCGACGCCAGCAAGTAGAAGATAGTGTCTTTGTCATTATACTGCTTGCAGTTGCTGAAAAGTCTCATGACATCAGACTCGAAAGTGTCCATGTCTTTGTATTTACCATTCTCTATGTTCTTGGATATCGTCTCTAAGTCAATGGGCTCCTTAATTACATCATAGTAATCAATCACTTCATCTTTGTTCACTGGAGTCAGGAATGGCCATGATGATTTATGCGCCTTTATTTTCTCAGTGATATACACTCAGTATTGGTCAAATGTCTTATCATCTTCAATAGAATTCTTATAGTCATCTTCATTCCATCCTGCTTCTTTCAAGCCAGGGATTTCATCAAAACTGTAAGAAGACTTCTTTGAAAAATCAAGAGGTTTATAGATCTTCTTATGCGCAATGTTAGATATCACGTTCATAATGAACTCTTTCTGCTTCTTCATGATCTGAGAGATATTCTTAAAATCAATGTATTTGTTTATGTAGCAATCCATGATAGTTCCTCCGTCGTAATGCTTGATATATCCCTTATACTGCTCTTCAGGGATCCTCAGCTTAGTCGAGAAGCCTTGCTTCTTAAAATAGTCAATAGCATGGTTATCAGCATAAGTTACGAAGTAGTCAATCCCTTTACTCTGGGCGTAGTTCTTCAGAACATTCATGATCCTCGTACCGTATCCCTTGTACTGCTCGGTTGTGACAATCGTTAAGAAGGCGATCTCGAAGAACTTTTGGTCATAAAATGGCCGATAGACGACACCTCCAATAAGCTCTTTTTCTTTATCCTCTCCCACTTTCTTAAGAATGATGATGCTCTCATGGATCCGGTCCATGATAAGCCTGACAATGTAGGCCTTAGGCATTCTGGGCAATTGCTTTGCTATAATTCATTTTAGATCAATAAGATGTTTCAGTTCTTCTCGATTTTTGTTGTTCTTAATACATCTGAACTCGACAATTCCGTCGTCTTCTTCCTTCTTAATGCCTTTGTCCCGTTCGAGATACCCTTTACCAACTTTTGTGTTCGCAAAATTTGGATCTTCAGCCTGAGATGGTTCCATTTTGCTCTTTTCCATTAAATATTATTAATTAAAGTGCCAATTTTGTATATAAGAGCGGGGTTTTGGGGTTTTGGGGTTTTGGGGTTTTGGGGTTTTGGGG